TTGATTAAAAACAAATAAAATAAAATTGAAAAACACAAAGATTTTTGGTTATGTAATACTTTGAAACAGTGTTCTAAAAAGCGTAAAACATAGATAGGTATAGAGGCCAAGCTCAAGCTTCTTGCCAAGGCATAAAAAAGCGCTAATTATTTTCATTATTGTTTTAACTACTTAATCATTCTAAAAATCATTTAATAATTGAACTTGTAACGACTCGACCTCTATGCCCAAACCGTTATATCATACGTACTATCCACTTTGGGTAGATATTTGCCCACTTATCCCCTCATGGCTTTTTATTGCGTTCCCCTCATGGCTTTTTATTGCGTTCACCCAGGATTCAAACCCAAGACCTCCGCCTAATGAGATACTTAAGTTGAATTAGACCCCAGGATTCGAACCAACAAGTCTCAAATTCATAATTACACATACTTCTTAAGTTTCCAACAAAATAATAAATCTCAAATGCAGAATTACATAATATAAATAGCACCGTATCAAGACTTTACTATCAAGGCAAAGCGATTTGTTCAAGGCCTCGCACCTATGCGACCACTTGGCATGCTTTTTAAAACACTGCTTTAAAGTGTGTCATTGAACTAGTCATCTTGTGAACTATGTACTTATAAGTTGAATGAAAATTGGCAAAGAATTCTCAAATATTTCTAACCAACCTTAAGTGAAAAAACCATTTCATAGCCAAAGTGGTAGTATATTTATCTACATTAAATGGAGTATAGAAACATGAATATACACATCAGCAAGTAAACTGCTAAAAGGAAACTAGTTTTGCCATCTATCTCTTCCACAAATCCATCAAAGAGACAAAAAAACTAACTTAATTTTGAATGCAATAGCAGTTGTTTCCACCACAGCACCACGAGAATCGAAAGAAAGATAAATATCATTAACCTCAGAAAATTCACAGCTTACCAGGAAAAATTTGTAAAGATGATTAAATATGTAAATCCATGGCCAGAAGCAAAATCATTTAATAGCACAGTGAAAGCTTCAAAATTTATGCTCTAGCAAAGTCAAGAAGAATCTTAATCAAGACTAACTGTAAGATGAACAATACTACAGAAAAACAAAAAAACTTTTTCATCAGATGGCCTACATGAATATGCAAAGTCTATAATACTACCTGCTTACATGCTGCAGGGGTCCAAGTATATGCACAAGTCCTCCAATCTTCAGAATATCACCTAGAGTAAATTGTTTTGAGCAGATAAACAGATTGCAGCAGTTACTGAATCCACATCTCAAAAAGGCGCCTGTATAAACAAACAAAACAACAGAAAAAACGAAGACTACATACTTCCACGTGGAACCATTGCGTCCAGGTGTACATTGCAAATCCACAAGAGAAGCTATGATACAGAAGATACGACTCAACATGTTGTTTGTATCCCTTGAAATTCAGTAGCTTCTGGTTTTACGACCGTTCACCTCTCCATCTAGGACTTAGTATGGGGAAAAACCCTGAAGGTGACAAAGGAAATCCATAACCAGGAGAAGGAGGAGGCTGAGGTCCAGGACCTAAAATCCCAGATTGGGGCAGAGAGGAAAATGAAAAATTAGGAGTCAGTGGAGGAGGATGCTGATACCCTGGAGAAAGTAATGGATAAGGTGATCGAGGAGAAAACAAGTTCAAGAAGCCAGTAGGTGAAGGTAAAAGGAACTGAGAAGTTGGAGAGTGTAAAAGGGGAGGAGGGCCACTCATCCGAGGAGAAGGTATAGGGGGCAAGGGACCATTCATGCGAGGGGATGGGAGAGGCATTGAAGGACCATTCATGCGAGGGGATGGGAGAGGAGAGGAAGTTCCATTCATTCTGGGAGGTGGGAACGATTGCATGGTAGGATTAGGAAGCAAACCAGAACCCGGTGGCTGAGCTAGATTTTGACCAGGAACTTGATGTTGCAAGTGAGGTTGATATTGATGGTGGGGTTGTCCTATTGAATTTTGCAGGTCGCGCATATAAGCTGATATTGGAGACTCAGCTGGATTTGCCCAACCATCAGGAGGAATCGGTGGCATGAACACAGGTGGTGAAGGTTGACCATATTGGGCCAGAAGAGGAGGAGGAGGTCTTGCAAAGTTGTTTGGAAGCTGCCCTGGTGGGTGTGCTGGTGCAGGCATCGGCATAGGAGGATGAATTGGGATCCAAGGTCGACTCATTGGTGCCAAAGGTGGAGGCCGAATTTTCTGTAACCGGTTACTAGCAGGTTTGGGAGGGTTTTGAGGAGGTCTAGGAGACGATTCTTGAGAAGGCGAACCCGTGAGCTGCTGAACTATATTACGGAAATCATTCTTGTTAATATTGTAGACCTGGGGTTGAGGCTGTTGCCTTGCAGCGCCAGGAAAGTTGGGCTGGTGTAGAGGACTCTTCTTAATGTTTTTTCCCATCTTGTTCACGCCCAAATGATCAATCTGTCTATTCATCTGCCCAGGCGGGTTTGAATTATCCATTTCTCCAATTCAAGTCAACAACTCCACTTCAACAATGCAAAAGCTCGACTCTTCCTGAATAATATATCCAACTAGTTTTGAAGCAGTCCTAGATCTTCAAATGAACTTGGCCACCACTCTTTCAAATCAGTTCAAAGCAGAAGCAAACAATCCAAAAAATGAAGACGCTGCTGAATCCAGACCGCTGAGCAAAAATAAATTTTCAAAAATTGCTGATCCTTCCACCAAAATACCAGTACCCAACTGCCTTGTCTTCCCCTAAACCTTGAAAAGTTTCAAATTCCAAAAATTTCACTCTTTCTTCATCCCAGAACACAGAAAAAAATCACTAACTAGCAGGGTAAAGTAAAAACCAAAAAAAAAA